GGCCACCTTGAGACGAAGTGTAATGCTTGGTTTTATGGGGAGTCCCTCTTTTAGCACACAGGTTCCCCGCTTTCGGAGCCGTTTGGGTGGCCGGTGAGGAGGGAGGGTACGTGGAGGCGCGGGTTTCCTTCTGAGGGGCTTGTTGTACGGTGGGCACAGGGTGGGAACGGTTCTTGGGCAATGAGGAAAATCCGGCGTTTTGTTCTGGTAGTTGTAGAAAAGTGAGAGGACAAGAGTCCTGAAGCTCTGTCAGAAGTTTGTGGGAAAATCAGTATGAACGGAGCTGCCGTTTCTGGAGGGGGTTACTCGCAGAATCAGAACTGGGCTGCTTAAATTGCTCCTCTCAGTCACTTCTGCAGGCTCCATCCCACAGGCACTTAGGCACTGAAGTAATTTCACTTACATGGGTAGTCACAATAAAATAAGCAACACTAGTTATTAGGTACATAGTGATTTGTAAAATGTAATCAGTAGGATGCAATAATTCCCTGTCATCATTTGGGGGATGACAGGCAGACTTGACGTTTTGAGAGTTATTTTTGTGAGAGGAGTTTATTGAACAGTCCGATAAAAACAGTCAAGAAAAAAGGTCTGATGAACAGGCCATCCTGGAACAACTCTGACATAAAGGCACATTAACAAAGAAACCACACATCAAATAGAAAACCAGAAATGCAAACACATGTAGAAAATAATAGGAATTAAAAGTGATACAATTTAGAAAACTGATAAAGGACAGTATTTCTTTAGTTAAACAGTTTCAGGGAGTGCCACATTAAAACCTGATTCCCTTCACCACCCTGCTGTCTGAGTGGTCTTGCAAACATTTCCCATACACAGGGTTCATGTGAGCCAGAGGCTGTTCCCAACACAGCCTGGTTGGAGCCAGCTTGGGCTTGGAGGCCACCCTCACTCCGTTGGCTGCTGTCCCAGAGAATGGCCCAAGGCAGGCTAACCAGTGCTACCTCAGATGGCAAGATCTGCACTAGTCAGGTTTATCTAGAATATCTTTTCATATATGAAACAACTTAATAAACTTGCTCTCGTATATAAATTTTCCAAATGAGTAACTTTTCCTTGGTTGGTGATGCTGGACTAAAAACTGGATTTCTCAGTTTCTCTTGCTGCTGGTTTGTTGGTGGTTTGTTGTGTTTTTATTTTCTATTTATTTATTTATTTACTTATTTATTTTTACAAACTGATTTACACTGTGCAGGTGTGGGGCTTTTTTATTGCAAGTAGGAAAACGAGTACCTCATTTATAAAACCAAACAATGAACCAGCACTGAATGGCTGGCTTTCTGAATGAGCCCAGGAGACAGATGGACCCAGAAGACCAAGTGGCAACGTAGCATAATTTCAGGACGTGTTGTCATTGCATGTTCTTCTATAAGATGCCCACTTCTGTAGTCACACTCCAATTGTAAATGTTGCCCAAAATATTTTTAAAAGGTGAAATAGTGTAGATTTAATGCCATTTTAAAATGCTACAACTAGATGTTGCCCAAAATATTAAGAAAAGGTGAATACTGTAGATTTAATGCCATTTTAAAATGCTACAACAAAAATACTTCCATGCTTTTGTGTCACAGATAACAGGATCAAATCTCACTTTTCTTTGTCTCAAAGTGACTAAGTCATGTCTCTGACCAGAGAGAAAGTAGATGCTAAGCTGATCAACAACATATGAAACAGAATATGTCTTCTCTAAAACGAAAAATTAATACTTCAGAGGACAAAGGGCTCATGATGTGCTGGTTATACATCATACTCTGTCAGATAGACAGATGTAAAATGCTGCAAAGAAATGCACGGGGGGTGCGAACGCAGCCGTTGTCAGCAGGGGTGCTGTGGCTGGAGAAGGTCATCGCTGTTACTGTTTGTGTGCAAAAGTGAGGAGGACAAACAGAGGAATGTGTAAGCAGTTGTCCAGAGTCTGAGTCCAGAAAACATTGCATGTCCGGGAGTGTTTGCATTCACAAGGATGTTTTTTCACTGGCCTCTTTGCTTGCCCAGAGGTAGTAACAGTAACTAGCCTCATACAAGGGTTAATTGCATAAATGATTCACAGAAATCAATAAATGCAAGATTCAGTCAAGATGGACATGTTATATAGACTGGACACCAGCTTTAAGGAGAAATATCCATAAGGTAAAGAAGAATTTATCACAAATCTGAACAATTTTTGATGGGTTACATTTGCCACGGGTAGTTTAGTGTTAACAAGGCAGATTAAATAGTAAAGATCAAAGAAAACAGACATACTAGCAGTTGAGTGGAGCAACTTAGCAGATGAAAACTGACATCAAAGTGCAAGGGTCTGGTGAGCAGTGGCATCTTGAACTCTGAAATTTTATCAGGATCAAATAACTATACCCACTTCTGTCAGGTACTTTATTTGAAAGTATTAGCAGGACTAAAGAAACTTTCAGCCTACCCAGCACAGCTCAGCAGTTGGCAGGACTTTGGCCAAAACTGTTTGACAAACAAAGGAGGATAAAAAATTTTTTTCTAAAGCATAGAAAAATATCTTACAAGATACAACAGATGAGTTTATATAATAATTAAATTTTTAAGTCAAATTTCCAATCACAAGCATTAATGTTGGAGAGAAGTATGTCCCTTAGACAGATAAGCCTCATCAATGTATTGGTCTCAGAACACAAAAAAACATATACATGCTGCAGAGATTAGCTGCCCAGTAATGTTCTCTGTTGTGTATGACTACTTCAGGCCACTGTGGGAGAAGTGAACTTCTCAAATTATGTCATCAAAGGCAGGTATGGTATTGTGCAGGCCTCAAACATTGGATACAAATCAGTTTTGATTACTCCTGAAGGTAAACATACTGTCATAGACTGTCTTGGGTTTAGCAATCATGTATATTTTCCCTGGAAAGCTGGAACAGTAACAAAGACAATATTTGTCAGCTTTAATAAAGTAGTATACTCCCTTGGAGCTGACTGTAGAGCACTGCTTAGCATGCATATCTTTCTGGGGTACCATTCTCTTTATGTTAAATGAAAAGATAGAAGCCAAAAAATGTGTATAAACTGAGCAAAGCTACTGAAAATCTTCCTTGAGCCTCATCAAGTCTGGGTGCTTCCACCAGATCTTTCTAAAAATTTTTGCAGACATTTTTTATGCCATCTACATATTCCAAAAAAGGTACTGGCTGATCAATGCTGCTATCAGCTGTTATGTGCCAGAACAGATTTGACAGCAGCCAAATTGACACCAGCTATGCAAAGACAGTGTATTCCTGCATCAACAGCATTCAAAATATCACTGCAAGACTTGGAAAAAAATAACTTGGGTTTGAGGGTACCTACCAATCCTACAAACCCAAAAGGTGACTGGACATGGAATGAGTGAATGAATCACCAGTACTCATCCTGAACCTACTTCTGCTAAATCAAAGATGACAACAGGAAGGAAAACTATGCACAGAAGTATTTTGCCAATAGGCAAAGTTGAAAACAGAGGTCTGAAAAAGGGGAGATGGGAAGTGATTTGTCTCTTCCTCTGGTGCTGGAGAGACAGATACTGTATTGCCAGAAAGTAGCTCTAGCATTTATGTTTTTAAGCATTTGCAAACTGTTTTGTATAAAATAGCCACAAAATTACTTGAGATGAAGAGTTTATTATCTTCATCTGTGTGGGACCTATTTGAAATGTCCAAGTTAGTTTTAAGACAAAAGTTGTGAGGCATCTTGACTAATGTATGTTGCTACTATAATGATGAGCTAAAGCACACATTTAGTGGGCAGCATGAGGGAGGTTCCTTATGGAGTTCCTGCTCTGAGGTTGGCTCTAGCTGGGAGCACAGGATGCCGTAGTGTGCCCATCCTGTGGTTGCACAGCTCCCTTTAATCCCCAGCAGTCAGCTGGGAGTTGGCTTCACCCCTAAGGTAAACTTTGCTGAAATTGTGTTCAGGATGGATGTGAAGAAGCCACTGAGCTCCTTCATGTAGTGATGAGATCAATAGTCACTCCACCCCACCAAAAAAAACATGTCACCCCCACCCCCTCCAGCCAGATGGCAAGGCTAGAGCAGATGCTAAAGCCCATGTTCAAACAGGTTTACCAGGGCACAGAGGCTGAAAACAAGATTCAGTCATTAGTTGGCAGTAGCATATGCAGGTGGAACAGCAGGAGTATAAATGCTGAGATGAAGCAGCAAAGAACTAGTCACTGTAATAGAGCCAGTGATACTACAGTCCTGAGTTAATACCAAGGTCATAGAGCTTTTATACAACTTTTAGAGCAATAGCTTATTAAAAAAAAAAAAAAAAAAAAAGCTTGAGTGGTATGGAAAAAATCTCTGAGATCAGAAGAACTGGACTTCTAACTTACTTTTAAGAAACATCTCTTCAAAGGTACAGGACTCCCTCACCAATTCTTACTTTTAGCAGTTAACTCTGGGCAGCAAGCTGACAACATTCCTTCAAGAAGAAAATACTGGGTACTGAACAGCTCTTCAGTGAAGAAAGATGTAACAGGATTAAATATCTAACATGAAACTAGAGAACCACTGAAACAAATTCCCAGTGGCAGTAATCAGTACTCTGTCTCTTGATGTCTTCTGACTGAGACTGGATGCTGTTCTGGAAGACATGTTTTAGTAAAAACACAAGCTGTGCTTCAGTCCAACCAACAGGGCTTTAATAAAAAGTACGTGCATAAAGCTTGAATTGCTGGCACTCTACAGGATGTTGGACTAGATATTGTGATCATAAGCTGTACCATGGTTTGATTTTGCTGTTAGCTTTTAAGTTAGATGTATCTGCTCCTGAAGGTTCAGTTTTCACAATGTGAAAGTCCAGCTAACTCAGCCCAGAACCTGCTTCAGGCTCTGTGTCACAGGCAGTGCAGCAACAGTGTCTGTAGCTACAGCAGTTTGATCTCCTACCTCATGCACCGTTTTTCAGCCTGTATTTTTATACTAACATGCACATCTGTGCTTTTAGCTTTCCTGTATCTTGGTATGGAGTCCTCTCCAGCGCTGTAACTCCACCCACTTGCCAAACTGTGCAAAAATGTGCTTTCTTTCATACAGGGAAAATAAACCAGAAAGAGGCAATTTCAATTAAGCCTCAGTAGCTCATAGACATAGACAATGAATGTCAGGCACTAGAAGATGGTGAATTCTGTACTCAAAACCTTTTAATTTCACGGCCTTTAGGGAAAATGCCAAACTCACAAAGCTGCAGACTGGTGG